AAAATTTTTTTTTAAATCTTTATTTATTATTCCAAATCTATTTCGTCGCCTTCAAAGTAATCCCCCTCAGACACAATACACTTATGCCAACGTTTTTTCCAACCCTCGAAACAGTTGTTAAAGTCGATTTCCGGAATGGCCTTCAAAGCTTTCTTCGATTCAGCTTGTATCTCTTCAATCGAGTCAAAACGGTGGAGTCCCCGGAGTGGTCTTTTGAGTTTAAGGAATAGCCAGAAGTCATACAGTGCTAAATCAGGTGAATATGGTGGTTGTGAGACGATATGGATCGAATTTTTAGCGAAATGGTCTCGAAGAACCAATGCAGTGTGAGATGGCGCATTATCGTGGTGCAAAAACCAAGAGTTGTCTTTCCACAATTCCGGCCTCTTTTTGCGAATAGTTTCACGCAAACAACGCATAATTTGACACAGATGTCTGTCACAGTGCTACCAACTTAGAAAAAAAATATTTCTGACATTCGATATACCCGCGCAATTTAACTTGAAAATTGGTCTTACTTTTTGAACGCAGTAGTATATGTGTGGGAATCTTTCTACAAACTTTTTCGATTATTTGTAAGCTTCCAAATGCATATGCGAAGGTAGAGCAATGTTCTTCAAAACTGTTCTGTTTGGAGCATCGACACTTTCAATATATACAAGCTGCGGAACTGTTTGGATTAGGCAAATATTACGCTAACTGACAGCTTGAGATTTTACATTAAAAATTTTTTGTTCGTTTTCGTCACATATCGAGCAATGCTCCTATTTATTTTTGCACATACTTTTATTGCGTAATAGCATTTGTAATTCTGTGTAACCAACACGACGTAAACTTTGCAGAAAAATGTCAGTGTTCTGTCGGTAAAGTTTTTAGCTTCAGCATTCTCTTAAGCCCAATGTCTACGGAGTATGATTTGAAGTTGTTTTTCTTACGAGGAGCCATTCATGCCGCTCAGTTCGTTCTGTAGCGAGAAATTTGATTCTTGTGCTCCGTTGCGAGCTTGACGGTTAATTTTCTCAGGCAGATTCGGTGTTATTTTCCAAGCGTGTTGCTAGGATCGTCCAATACAATTCATCCAATCAGATCGACCAAATGTCAGCTGATATCAGTTATATAATTACACTGTATTGGAATCCTAGCAACACGCTTGGAAAATAACACCGAATCTGTCTGGAAAAATTATATCAAGCTCTCAACAGAGCACACTGAGGGTCGATTGTTCCGATCTCTTGGTAAGATACCTGACAGTTAAATCATATGTCTGTCTTTGTTTTTTCTTCAAATTGGACAAAGACGTCTGTCACATGGGGTCTGTTTTCTATTGCTAAACTAATGTACACTTTCAGAATTTAAAAAGAGACAGATATACAGATAAAACTCGGCGGAAAAAAATATGAGAGGGAACTAGTGCAGTCAATTTAGCAATAGAAAATAGATCCAAGATTTAACTATCAAGTAGCTTACCAAGAGATTGGAAGAGTATCGGCTCTGAGAGTCAAATTTCTCGTTAGAGAAGAAACTTATTGACATACATGACTCCTCGCAAGAAAAACAACTTCAAATCACACTTTATGAGCATTATGCTTTCATCACCGTACATTCGACTAATCGTGGATATGTCTATTGTGTTGCAGGTCTCATCACCACCAGCGGCAGGAAGCTCGACCGCGAGAATCAAGCGGAACACGTATTGGAGGTAAGTCCGATTTTTGTTAATCTCACTATCAAATGCTTCGTAGAAATCAAACCACTTAATGCGAGTACCTCGCCAATCAGAGTCGCACGCAACATACTTATTCAAAAAGAAATAATCTGATCTTTAGCGAAATTCTTTGAATCCTAGCGGATTTTATTTCTATATGTGGTCGGAAGAGGATTCTTCTGTGAAACCAAACGAGGAATATTCTAAACACAATATTCTTAAAGCTGGAGCAATTTCATCTTTTATCTATAATACAAGTTCTGCTTGTCTTGTCTCTCGTATCACGCGTAAGAGAGCATTCCGCTCTTTAAGGAGACTGGAGGATCAGATTGCTTCGTGCTTTCACAATTTTTTATGACAAACTGAATGAATATGCGAAAGTGTTATTTTGACGTGTATTTATCCAACATATAAAGAGAAGAAAAATATAACTTTGATAATCAAATACTCAATATAAGTGTATGGTACATGCAGTTAAAATATATTTTGTTTTTCCTTCCAAGGTCGTCATTTTGTAGTAATATCTTGACTCTCGGTGATTCAATTAAACTGAATTTTAGGTAGAAAATTTCCGTAAGCTTGTCGTGTGAACCACTGACAAACTCGTGAATATATTTAATTTTGAAATATTAATTTTTTTACTATAAAAGAACTGAAAATTTAATAATATTCCATTAAGATATTTGCGATTTTGTTAACTTTTACTCAATTTCTATTGTAGTGATTCACACGATAACGACAAGCTTATGGAAATTTTTTACCTAAAATTCAGCTTAATTGAACCACCGAGAATCAAGATATTACTGCAAAATAACAAATGACTTGAAAAGAAAAGCGAAATATATTTTAACTGTATGTACCATACATTTATATTGAGTATTTGATCAGCAAAATTATATTTTTCTTCTCTTTATATGTTGTATAAATACACTTCAAAATAACACTTTCGTATTATCATTCAGTTTGTCATAACAAATTGTGAAAGAACAAGGATGATTTTAAGGCAATCTTACCCTCCAGTCCTCTTAAGCAAACATATTTCTGCCGATTAGAAATTTTGTTTAAGTATGTTTAAGTACCTATTATAGAACTGGTCGATTCCGATCGGAATAATTCCGTTTCCCCTAGAAAATACAATAGAAATCTAGGAAATAACTAAGAACGTTTCCGATAAAAATCGATTCCAACGAGTTCCATAATAGGTACCTAATTTTTTAAAATGATAGTGGCTATATAATAGCTATTATATATTCTGGCACAGGCAGCGCCATCATATTTGATATATTTGATATTTGATATATATGCTAAATAACAGCTATATCACAAACCTGATTCTATATTTCTGCGAATAATCAGCCAGCAACGAGTTACTAACGAGCTAGAAAATGTTATGTAGTCTATACTAGATAGCTTTTGACTCAGCTAGTTACATTTCTGTTCAGGAAGGAGTTTTGTAAAGTTATAATGGGATTATAATATGGAATATAGGTCCATCATATGTTCATATTAGAGCATCCTAATGTATTTAGTCCAACTTTTGATCAGATATACCTGATATTATTTGTAGGACTTACTTGTAAATGTAATTGTAAATTAACTCTCCAATAAGCGCAACTTTATCCTCCCTCTGTGGTCTATGTTTGTTCAGATTATGTTTTTAATCATTGAACAAAATAATCGTTTCTTTCATTTTTCAAACAAAATAATTTTTTTCTCTATTTGAGAATCCAACGAAGATTTGACGAAGATCTAACTAAGATTCGCTAATGACTCTTTAATAAGATCCTAATTAAATATTACCTTGTACAAACCTGACAATTGATTGAGATTTACCTTATCAAGACCATGGAATAAATTCTAGTCTCTTGATTCAAAAGAGAGGAAAAAAGTTAAAACAATATCTAATAGATTTCCGATTAATAGTTTACTTTGTTAGAAGAGGAATACTCTTTCGGTAAAAGTTTTCATTTAAAATATGAAATTACAGAAAAATAATACCTTGCAACTGGAGTTCTTTTATTAGATGTTGGTTAATAAATTTTGATGTTTGACGATGTAAATGCAAGCGCATTCCCCTTGCAGTCTAATGTGCATGTTATACACCTTTTGTGTCAAACTAAAATTTTCTAAGAAATTTTCCCGACTGTCCACTCTAAATGGAAAGTGACCTATTGAAATTTAGCAACCAACTTGGTTCTGTTTGACCAAATATTCACGTTCTGTGGTCCGATTCTTATCTGTAAAATTCTGTCGACGTTAGTTCCTGCGACATGACTGCGAAGTACGTTCGAGAAAAAACGAGCTCGCTCGCAAGGAACAGTGCTAATTCCGAACGCGTCGTATCTTCGTCAACGACGTGTCGAGCAACGACGTTTAGTCGCGTTCAAGCTCGCTAAGGTAAATCGACTTTTCTAACGGCGAGCTGACGTTAACAGGTGATAGATGAATTAGCGCCGCACCTTTTCTTCATTCCGCGTTTCTCCATTCGCTACTGTCGGCGAAACTCGAGAAGCGTCGTTTCTCCTTTCCCTCTTCGCTGCTCCGATTGCTCCTAGTCGGCTGCGAGCTCTCCCTCCGACATTGTCGGGGTGGAAATGAGGAAGAAAATCGCATCCTCCGTGAGATTGAAAAGTAAAATGAGGAAAATCTGCTGCCTCCGACGATAAAAGCGAGAAGGCCAACTTGAGGACGGCACGAAGAGAGGGGTAGTATGAGCGAGGGCAGAAAGGGAGAGGCTAAGAAACGAATGGACGGCTTGGGACAACGACGGCGAGAAAGTGGGGCAAAGGGGCGAAGGAGGCAACGCTGAAAAGGTACAGTGGTTCCGCGCTAAGGCGGAGGAAGAACAGGAAGAAGAAAAAGAAGGAAGAGAGGAAGGGTCGCGCAGGGCGAGACATTTCTCCGGGGAGGGTCGGCGGCGCCTCTCGGGGAATTTCTACCTGTATCGGGATTAAAGAAAGAGCTCGCGATAGTCTCACGTCGTGTACGGCGGTAGACATTGGAATTTCACCGGGGCGATAAAAGCGGGCGGGGAGCGATACCAATTTCACGGAGAGGCTTTCGCGAGTATAGGATCGAGGCGAATGCGACTGATAGGGTAAACGGCTCGGCCACACTTGCGTCCGCCCGTTGCGCGCTCGTTATCCGACCTGCCCGTCGCCGCGTATCAATCTGAAGCACAAGTTTACGATGAGAGTGCGCCGTCGAGCGAGAAAACGACACCGGGATTATTTAGCGTCGAGGAAAGTAATTACGCGCGGCGCGAGAATGACTGCGAGACGGAGCGAGACGCGCGTCGCGCACGATAACGCCGTCTCGTAAGTTCCCGAGATTCGCCAATGAGTCTCGTGCAGCTTCACCTTGATCACGAAAGTTACAATTACACGCCTTTGCCCGCTTCTATTCTGGCTTTATTGCAGTTCCCGAGAAACTTGTGTCTCTTGTTTGGTTCCGCTTTTGGCGTTGTCGCGTTCCCCGGGAAGTTCCGCGAATAAAATCGCGAATGGCTCTTTTACCTCCGTTCTCGCAAAGCATCTCGCGACGTTGGAAGGTGAACTTGGAGCGCTTTGCAAAATAGCAGAAAATACACGAACGTAAGTGGCCCGCTCGCGCTATTCGTAAATTTTTGCCCGCGGCGCGTCCGCCTCTGTCGTGACAAATCGCGAGCGTGCAATTTTAACGGGTGAATCCGCGAGTTCTTGATGAATTCGTAGTGAATCGCGAATTGGCTTTATGTGCATGTTTGAGCGCGCGCTCGAAAATGGGCGAATTATTCATGACAACTAAAGTGGTTTCGATGGTATAAAATCGTATCGGGCGATGTGTTGGAGATAAAAAATACATATTACACCGCCGCGCCAGACCATTACGGTAGCAAAGTGTTTCGTGATTAACACGAGCATATGTTCGCCCGAAATTAAATTGCACGTTATCGGTTTTAATGGCCGTGCTCTCTCGCCCCTTCCTGCACGCGCGCGCGTTGCGCGCAACTTAAATTTTCAACGCTTCCATCGATCGGTAATTAGGTGCCCATGGCGGAGCTGTGATATCAATAATCAGAGTGTAACTACGTCGCCATTTCGCGTATTAAAAGAGAAAGAAGGGAAGCAGAGAGAAAAAGAAGCTGAATTCGCGTCTGTAATCATTTCTGTATAACAAGATAGTTTGAAGAAGTTTAAGGAGGAAAACACCTTTCATTGGAAAAAAATCATTTTTTTAATTGCATATCCTGAAAATATGTACTTTTAAATGTATGTCCCCAAATTTTTATGAAGAAATTAAGAAAGTTGGCAAAGTTATAGCCCATTATCTGAGACGGTGTATTGGTTGGAGATAGATTTTTTAGAGCTCCCTCGTGTTGTATTAATCATTACTTAATATAACTTTGTAGCAATATTATCTCGAAACAATTACCTTAAAGCAAGTGACATTATTATTAGCTTATTTCTAGACAAATAGCATACATATTTCCTGCAATATACAGAGTGTTTTAAAAGTAGAGATCAATTGCTCGGGAGATAAGTGGGAACTTAGAAACAAGAAAAAAATGATATAAACAAAAGCTTAAAAATACATTCTTGAGTTATCATCATTTTTATGTTGAAATTTCAGACTATATAGATTGGCATGTAATAACAGTAACTTTTAATGCAATATGTTTCACTTGAAATCACATAAATTTTCTCCCTAACTATAAAACATGTAGACGCAGCAACTATAGTAGCTTCATTCG